AAGCCTCATTAAATATGTCCGACAACAACAGTACAACCCATGCTACGGCGTCCGCGGGAACAGACGCGCTCCACAACTCTGGTTCAGTGGTGTGGGCAAATAGTATGCCAGCTGGACTACTCAATCGGCAACAGACTCCTCGCATTGGATGCTGCAATGTGCGTACGATTCTGGGCCCTGATACCCAAAGTCTGATCACGTACAGTCATTATCAGTACAGCGTTGATGTCTGCTGACTGTCTAAAGTTCGACTTCTCGAAATAAAGACCTTTGAAGTCGACTCACACTTCACCCTGTGCCGCAGCGCCCCAACGAGACTCTTCTGGTAGACATGGTGCAGCGACCGCCCACTCGCGACATGCGAACTTTGATTTACTTGCTTGGGAACCAGTCAATGACCAAATGGCCTACGTGCAACTGAAGGTCCACCTGACAAAAATCTCTATTCTTTATGTGTACGTGCCAAACTTCAGCTATCGAACAACAGATAGAGGCGTCTTACTCGTAGAAAGAAAGTAGCACCGTTTCAACTGACGAACAGAATGATACAACACCTGTTATTGTACCGAACGCTGACGATGTCCGTATGCATAACCTAGAAACATTAACCCAACAACAAAATTAACGGCTTCAACTATACTGTCTTCGTAACAGAGACGCCTGAATTTTACCCCGTGCAAATTTTTCCCATCGATTTTTCACATCTCGATTCCTCCATTTGTTGCCATGCTAACATACGCCCCTGGCTAAATTCCATCTTATCTACTACTTTTCTATTTCTCGTTTTAGTCCCAGTAAGTGTATTGTAAGATGAATAAAGCCCTGTTATAGGGTATTCTCGTTCTGACTCTTGCATCCATATTTGTTCGTTCTCTCCATCTCGTGTGCTTGCTACGGTCCTAGCTACAACAATTTATACAAAATGGATCGATTCCTTAGGCCAGAACGATTCCATGCTCATCCACCAAAAGGGATTTCAACACTTGTCGAGTCGGAGAAAGTCATGTCCAAGTAGAACATCGGCACACAAATTCGGCAAGACGGGTAGTTTGACCTTCTCGTATATTGTACCTTTATATTTAATAGTGACAAGAATATGTCCTTGCGTGGCGCTGGTTAAGGCTGTAGTAGCCATGGATATCTTTGTGCGAAAGTAATGAACCTTCCACTTATTTCGTAGCACCACTGAGGAAGAAATGTAACTTTCAGAACTACCTGTGTCAATAAGGGCCTGAAAATTAGTCTCATTTATTTGTAATTCAACCACTGCATTTGAAAGACAGTCGGGAACAGCAGTTGACGCCATGGCGGAGATGGAAGGACACATAGCGGAAAAGAAGGCCCTTTTTTACCGCACCCTTTGCATAACGCATCGCGTGCGGGACACATAGAACGGCCGTGCTTGTCGTATCCACAAAAGGAACATTTACTATGGAATGAAGTAGAAGCCACTAGATCAGGCTCTTAAACGGAACTCGGCGAAGCTTCACATGGCTCGGTGGCGGCAGAGAATGAGGTCGTCGGAGGGTTCTGGTACGATAGAGACTGTCTTGCTGCCAATTTCAGTGATTTTGCCTGACCAAAGGCAGTTTGGAAGTTCAAAGTCTTCTGCTCCAATAACCTCTGCCGAATCTGGTTTGATGAAAGGTCACTGATAAACCCATCTCTAGTGGCATCGTCGCGATTTTGCTCTATCGTAACGGCTTTGAAATCACAGTTCTTAGCTAAGGATTTTAGCTTTTGAGCAAACTGGTCGAGTTTGTCTGCCTTCCTGTCCGCAGGTTGCCAGAAGATGGCGGACGACAATTTCGTTTTTGGGTCGTAAGTAGAGTTCTTGCAGCAATTTAACAGCTTCTTTATAACTGGAGCATTCACTAATGCATTCCCAGATTGTCAGAGAAACGTAGTTAGTCAGAACGCTTAGTTTATCCGGTTTCAGGTTATCGGTCGTGGAAAAGAAATCTTCATAAGCGCGAAACCAATGACTCCCCTGTTAAGAGGCGTCTTGAGCATTTGGATCAGCATCAGTCTATGGTGCAGATGAAGAAATCCTTGGATATACCCAGCGATGCCGCAGTGACTGCATCGGCGGAAGAACCCTGCAGTTGTCTGCTCAGACGGCTCGAACCAAGTCCCGTAATGATGATTCCCTTCACCAACTCCGGAAGATAACGCTAAAGTCGATCAAGAATGACAAAAAAATATTTGGCAGAAATGGCGACCTCCATGGAACAGGCCTCGAACGTTGGTGACACTCCGAAACTCTACCAACTTATCCGCCACGTTAGTGGTAAGCCTTCTACACTGAGTGACTCCGTTCACGACGTGAATGGCGGCTTTGTTGCTGACAACTCGGCCAAAGTCGAGCAATGGCGTGAGCACTTCGAGCACCATCTCAACGTTGATACCCAAACCACTTCGCCCTTGCTCTCCTCTGCAGCAGAGTTTCCTCCCTCTCCAATCTATGCAGTGCCATGCGACCCCCCTTCTGAAGGAGAGGCTACGCAACAACAAGGCACCCGGAGAGGACTGTATACCCGCTGCAATCTACAAGTCTTGTGTCGACACTGGCGCCCTAGCTCCATGAAGAACGAGGTTGTTCCTTATGACTGGGGCTTAGGCATCCTTGTACCTATCCTCAAGAAGGGAGATAAGACGAGATGCAAGAACTACCTCGGCATAAGCCTCATCGACGTTGCTGCGAAGATCTTCGTTATTGTCCTTCTCAAGCGATTCCAGACTGTTCGTGACTCTAGGACGAGGCCCAACCACGCCGAATTCCGTGCTGGATGTGGATGTGCGGACCAAGCACTCACACCGAAGCGCTTTCTCGAATTTCACCATAGCTACCAGTAACCGATGGTCGTCTGCTTTGTTGACTTTGCCGCCGCCTTCGATTCCGTTCATCGCCAGTCCCTGCAGTGGATAATGGCACTACATGATGTTATGCCAAAAATCACCGCCATGATCAAGGCCTATCACCACTCCACCAGTGCACGACTTCTAGCCCATAACAGTCTTTCTCAACCGTTCGGTATTCCGTCTGTGGTTCGACAGGGCTGTATCCTATCGTCCATTCTATTCAACTATGCTACTGACTGGATTTTCGAGAGGGCCCTACACAAAGATGACGGTGTTCTGTTTGCACCCGGACACCGACTTACTGATCTCCACTATGCCGATCATATCG